ATACTGTTTCCATAGCTTCGGAACGTCACGAATAATGCTTCTAAATGTTTTGCCATCTACTAAGATTTATTTATCAGCGCTTCTAAATTTACCCTTAATTAAGGCCCCATCATCATCCAGCTTCGCCAATGAACCAACTTACCACATTAGCTTGAGTGGCTGTAGAGTGCCAATCTAGCGTCTGTCAAATAATTCGGAATATTTATTTTTCTGTATTACGGTGATATGACGATAAGTAAATTAGAGACAAGTTCATGCAAAATATGGATGACTGAACTACGATCCCAGCCATCGGCTCCGCGCAGTAACTATTGTTGCTACCGGTTATACGCATTATCCTGCGTGTACGGTCAATGTAGAGAACTACACAAACTTTTGGACCATGGTTAAGGCGTCAGATCATTAAATCGGCAGAGTCAATTTTATAAAAAACTTTACTTTCAAATCGTTTATCATTGTTCTGGGAGCTTCCGTCAAAACCGTGAAAGTTACAGGTTAATTTTGAAACATTTCATTCCTTCATCAGCATTTAACATCTAGCTTTACTGCATATCCAAGACCACCCTAGAGATTTCGGCTGTAAACATATTTCGTTGACTAGACTTCTTAAGGAACCTACATAGAACAGTTCGATGTATGTTTTCACTCCCTCCCACTTACCCTGTGAGGATGAGCAATTCAGATTTGAGAGAAGTCTTAGTCTCGAAGAGTCAGAAGTCTCAGAATGACGAACACATCGACTTTGTGTTCTACCCACCAAAATTACTCAATCCGTCCACAAAACTCAAAAACATCGGTGAAACCGAATGGCCAAAGACAACTGCACAAGGTCAACGTGAAACTGACCTGTTTCTGCAATAAAGTTTCGTTGTCAAGGTTCTGAATTTCCTCCTCAGGTAGATCGGCAAGGAAACGACGGAACTTGGGATCTTTCATACGCTCCATGCGGTCTTGCATCATCCGTCGGTGAATCTCTTCCTGCTCCTTGCGCCTCATCGTCTCCATTCGTTCGGTGTTTTCTTGCTCCAGTCTCGTCTGCTCAGCCAATCGCTGAAGCTCCGCTTGACGCCGTTCTTCCTCTTTCGCGTTCTCCTCCTAATAACACGCCCCTCACAGTAAAACAACAAATCATATTGAAATAAACAAAAGAAAAAACTAACTTGCTCCTGCCGGATTTTTTCCGTAGTCTCTTTGTATGCTTCGATTCGCTTCTTTCGTTCCAGTATTTCTTTGTGGTCATCTGCAGCGTGGTACTTCTGTAGCGAAATCTGATGCGATAACTGCTCCATCAACGCCTAGGAGAAAAATACTGGTTAAGCGCAAATTAATCAAAGCACATGATTAAAAAAACCAACAATTTAATGTGCAGCGCTAATACATTAGGTTCTCGGCGAAACAGCTAGAATAGGTATCAGTGTATTAGCTCAAGACGATGTTGCCACTGAGAAAAGAAGAAATTCTACCGTGACTTCAAGAAACTACACATTTGTTTGAAATATTACACAACTGGGTCCTTTAAACCATCAAATGAAGCTCCGAATATCAGGAAGCGAAACAAAAGATACTTACGCACTTTGATTATGCCATGCCGATATTATTTTCAACCGCTGATACCGTATCTACACGGGAAAACTATAAACTCATTTATAAGAGTGAGGTAATATGCGACGGACGAACGGAGTGCTGCTATTTTTGGTCGCAACAGCATATCATGGGGATTATATATTATTTTCCATAAATTCAGATAGTGGCAATTTTGTCGGTGTTCGAATAAGTTATTGTTCCGCCCAATACAGAGATGCGGCGCGTGTGTTACTACCGTGCTGTGGCCTGCTTAAATGATTCCCCTAGGCGACTAGAAGCAAGAAGGCGGTGCATTGCCACTGTACCACCCGTTGTAAATCTGCCTTAACTTACGCAGTATTACTGTAAAATAAAGCACTTAACAGTTTTCACCTTGTAAATCAGCGGTTGAAAGATATTATTTGCCGGAGGCTGAACCGGAATTCTGGCATTTTGGCATCTGTCCTATACCATCAGGTTTACTCATTATTTTCTATTATCTAATTATATCCAGTATTAAAAATATTACTAGAAGATACTATCTACATATATATTTCCTGGTAAA